CGGGCAGGTTTAAATTTGTGTAGATGTATCCCAAAAATGTGGTGTGCATACAGCGATCCACCAGACCCATGCTTAGTATCCTCTGTCTGCTTTCTTTTCCTGTTTTGTCATGCTGCTTGCGCAGGGGTGAGGTGGACGCCCTTGAGCAGCGCGTGGTGGAGGCTGTATGCCTAGTCGAGCTTTGTCTGTCCGTGAATGAGATGGACATAAAGCTGCACAACCTATTGCACCTGGTGGATTCCATAAAGAACATCGGTAAGGAATGTGCCGCATTGTGTAGGCCATGCCGTGTTCAATGCACTGAGACATGTGATGTGCTGTGTGTGTCAAGACGTGGGATACTGCACACACACTGTACTGCACTCCTGGCACTCCTGCCTCCCTAGGGCCCCTTTTTGCGGCATCCATGTTCCCGCCGGAGAGTATCTGGGGCCAGCTAGGCCGTTGGGCGCACAGCAAGGTGCACATGGAGCCCTGCATGTTCTTCAACGCGTTAGACAAGGAGGTTGTGCTGCATCTGAGGGCGTCAACTGCAGCACCCCCAGCAGCTGACAGCGAAACAGCCCCTGTGCCGCTAACAATGTGGCAGCCTGAGGACTTTCTTCTCCGCCGTGAGCACCCAGCTTACCTGGGCCGGGTGGAGCGGATCGACACACTCAGTGGCTCGCAACTGGCCTCATTACGGAGGTTTTACAACCTGTACAGGCCGGCAGCTGCTGAATGGCCAGCCAACTGTGTGATTGAGGCGACAGCCAAGTTCCTCCGCTGGGCCTGGGCTGGCCCGCTGGCGCTGGAAGCTGGAAAATGGTTTCTCTCTCGTCCTGCCCCCGAGGATCCAACCATGTGGTTTGGGAGAGTGCAGGGGAGGAGGCGGCAGGGGAAGAAGGCGGCAGGGGATGAAGGCGGCGGGGAAGAAGGCGGCAGGTGAGGAAGGCGGCGGGGAAGGAGGTGGCAGGGGAGGAGCCTCCGGGGAATAAGGCGGCGGGGAAGAAGGCGGCAGGGGAGGAGGCGGCAGGGGAGGAAGGCGGCGGAAGAAGAAGGCGGCAGGGGATGAAGGCGGCGGGGAAGAAGGCGGCAGGGGAAGAAGGCGGCGGGGATGAAGGCGGCGGGGAAGAAGGCGGCAGGGGAGGAGGCGGCAGGGGATGAAGGCGGCAGGGGAAGAAGGCGGCAGGGGATGAAGGCGGCGGGGAAGAAGCCGGCAGGGGAGGAGGCGGCAGGGGAGGAAGGCGGCGGGGATGAAGGCGGCGGGGAAGAAGGCGGCAGGGGAGGAGGCGGCAGGTGAGGAAGGCGGCGGGGAAGAAGGAGGCAGGGG